ATACTTATGAAAATAATGCACAGACATATGTTATACTGTGACATATAGTTATAAGATGAATCTTCAAGTTTAACAAACCAAATTTGATAAGATTTGCAACTTCCCTAGGCATAATTCAGTGACCTACTATTAAAGCAGGTCTGCAGAACATATGGTGTGCCAAGCAGCCTTGTGCATTCACCAGTGTGTCAACTCTACAATGAGCATGGCTGCAGCCACTTTTTATTTCTCATTCTAGGTTGCCACATAGAATGGAGGGAGAGGGGTTGCCCAGGTACTTTGTTAGTCAAAATAATCTTCTGTCCTGTGGGAACTAAGGTCATCTGCTGTTCCCGAGGCTAGGGACTGGGCATTGCATAAAAAGCCCACCAAATAAGTATATTGGGGAACACAGTTGCTTGCATAGGTTTGTGGGCGAGACATTTAACTTTGTAATTGGGCAATTGTTACTTGTATATTCAGACTTGGTTTCACTTTTGACCATGCTGATACTTTGTAACTAATAAACCTGTTCTTTGAGGAACTTTCAAGCCTCGAAGTTCTGCTTTATTCATCTCTGTCTGTCGGAACCATGACACAGTGTTTTTAAATAAATTCATTGCCACTGCTGTGTGGATCTGCACTGATAGTGTCAATTCCAGGACTGCTGCTGCTGAGCTTGCCACCAAGAAACTGATTGGCATGCTAGATAGTCCTTTGTGGCCTGTAATTTTTTAAAATTTACCACTATGACCTTTTTCTTCTACAAGTTGTACAGGCTTGGTGTGAGGTTACAGATTCATCTCCCAGCATGAAGAAAAACATAAGTATTCAGAAATGGGAAATATTTTTGTTTCAAGATGGAATCACATGCTTCGAGTTGAAGGACAGAATCAGGCTTAATGTGTAAGTAATTTGGTGTGATTTTGCAACTTATCATGTTTGACATAACTGTACTCGGTATAACTAAGAAACTCAACTTTCAATTAAAGTAAAACACCTAATTAATTCCCAAGTCTGTCTTCACAGCTTTGCCTATACAGATCTGAATTTGGAATCGCAGCAAGATGGGTGGGAAACAAATTTAATACATAAATAAAATAAAAATAACTTGCACAGGTCTTTCCATTGGGGCACTCAGGTACCACAAAATAACTACTTTTCATTGTAATTGTTACTTTGTTTTCTTATCTTATTAGGCAACAAAGGAGTGAGCATTCACATGGGCATTAACCATAGAAATAATTGGATGCAATATCAGTTCACATCTGAAAAAAAACATTGATTTCTGATCTTTCACTGCTGCCTCTTTTTAAAGCATCACCTTTTAACAAAAAAACCCATCATCAAGAAGTCAACATTCAACCAGCTCTATTGCCATTTGCTATCTTCTCTTTCAAATCTTATTATAATTCAACATTAGAACTACACTGACCTTGACAAAAAATAACCAAACTTCCTGATAATCATATGATCAAAAACCACACAATCAAAATTCAAGCATGTATTTACAACAGTTGCAGCATTCTGAGGTCCCATGATTGCCATTTGCAACTTTCCCTGAGAACTTCCAATAAGCAAAATAAATGGGGGGGGGACTAGATTTGCTTAAAGACCACGCCCAAAAAGATTGTAAAATTGGATACAACTCATTTAATGGCAACATTGCTTAGCGACAGAAATTCTGGTATCAATTGTGATTGTAAGTCAAGGACTACCTGTACTATCTATGGAACTGGATAGGCTTGACCCTGTGCCCAATCTAGACTCACAGCTCCTGCTTGTGGCTAAGAGGGCCTTTGCACAGATTTGTGTTGTACGCTAGTTGCCCCTCTTCCTGAACTGGATGCTGTAATCTCAGTCACTAATGCCCTGGTCCCTCCCCAGTAGATTACTCTAAGAGAGTCTACATGGGATGCCCTTAAAAGAATAGTCAGAAGCTTCAACTGGTACAAAATGCAATGGCACAAACAGCTATGTGTGCTTTCATTCAACGAACATTCTGCTCTATGAACTGAATTAGTGGCCAGTTTGTTTCTGGTTGCAATTCAAAGTGCTAGTAATCACCTATGAAGCCCTACGGGCCACGGGGTGAGTTATTTCAGGGATCAGATTTCCCAGTTACATCTACTTATTCATCAGGTTCCCATCTATCAAGGAGGGTTATCTGCAGGGGGTCAGGAGAAGGGCCTTTTCTGTCGCAGTGAACCAAAACTTCATCTCCTTGAAGGTGTTATATTGGGCCCAACCCTGCTTGTCTTATAGAAGGCTCTGAAAACATGTTTGTACCAATGTGCTTGGGGATCTAGTTGTCATTTGAAGCCTGCTAGATGGCTGTACTTGTTGATACATGATTTGCACTTGCCAGGTTTTTTATATTTTCTGATTTTATTTGAATATATGAATAAGTAAATAGGACAGAAAATTATAGGATTATCTGCACATGTGGAATACTGTGTCCTTTTTGGCAGATCAGAGAGGGATTTCAATCCATGTCCACCAAAACTGAGTATTGTATTCTCAAAAAAAGAAAAAGAAAAAAAGCTAAGCATGACTTGTGCGTAGGAGATATTTAGAAAATCTTAGGGCTATAGATTAGAAATTTGAAACTGAAAAATCATCCTGCGAGAAGGATTCTAGGAAAATAGCAAACTACATCTATCTTATTGGCAAGAAAACTAACAGTTTACAGTAAGTTACCCAGAGCTAAGCTTGACTTAAGCAAATCTTTATTATTTTATCCATGGCATAGTCTCAAAAATTATTGTGGAAGAAATTTAAACAAATACCACAATGATCTAAAACATCTGAGCATCAAAGGGTTTACATAAGAATCTAGCAAATGCCTTTTTTCTTACAGTCTGTATGTCAGAGCTCTGGAATCTGGCATCAATATATTAGTGATCTAATGAATTATTATATAAACAGCAAGCTAATACTAGTGCAAATTCTCCAATGACCACTTTAAAAAAAGAACTGGAAAATAAATATTTCTAGTTATTTAATTGAAATTCAAGAATTCCAACAGAAATGATTTAGTAGATAAGTAGGGAGAGCAAAAATAATACTTATTAAAATAAATTATAGTTATGGCTGTAACTTTTCATTTAGTTAGATAAGTTTATTTTAAATCTACTGTATATAAGAAACATTAACTACTACTGTTATAAACACTGCAAACGGCAGATACTGTATGCTCCATTTAAAAACTGAAAGAAAAATTTATTGTATACCAGTGGTTGCTACTTGTATGCATATCTCCCCATCAAAACTTATTCTTTAAAAAATGCAATATAACAAATTAAGGGGACTCTTCATTTTGAGAAACTTGCTGGTTAGCTATGGTCCTTTAATCCTCTCTCTCAGAATAGCCATCAACTTTTCCAGTAAGAGTCTAAGGATACCACTCAAGATCAAAGAAAGAAGGAAATTTCTTTGTTTGGGGAAATTTTGGTTGTAGTCCTCTAAAGCAGTGGTCCCCAACTTTTTCGATTTGGCGGGCCAGAAGTGGTGGGGTGGGAGAGGGAGTGGTTTCCTGCCATGCACGCACCGCCTTCAGAAATGCAGCTTTGCACATGTGTGTCCACCACTTCTGCAGCCCAGTTCCGAATGGACAGCAGCCCAGCACTGAGTCGCGGACTGAGGCTTGGGTACTCCTGCCCTAAAGGAACTAAAGAAAACAGATTTCATGTGATTAGGCCTGGGAACTCAGGCAAAAGCCTCAGAAAACCCTGGGAGAACTAGAAGCAGCAAAGTCAATAAGGGATGTTCATGTAGTTGTGTTTATTTGTCTTTCTTTCTTTTTAGAGCTGCTCACTCAAGTCTGAAAAATTCTGTATAAGCTCAAATTCTCTTAATCTTCATCTTCATGGAGAATTATTGGTGGGGCTGTCTATTCCTAAGAATTTTCACCTGTCCCTTTTCCTGAAATCTTACTACCTAGCAGGACCACAGAAGTGGCTGCTCTTATCTTGTGGAATACCCTCCCACCAGTGATTGGACAAGCCCCCACCATTCTAGCTTTTTAAATGATCATTAAGACTTGGCTTTTTATTGGAGTGCTGGAATGGTATGGATAGAAAGTATGGAAGAGGGTAGCCAAGCCTGCTATGAGGCATCCCAAGGGTGATGGTTATGGTGCAGAGTTTCTGTTGTTTGTATTGTTTTTATGATTGTTTTATTTATTGGTTAAATGGCGGTTGTGAGCCACCCAGAGTTACTTAAGATGGGCAGTCACATAAATCTTTTAAATAAAGAAATAATACATCTCTTTATCCATTGGCTCAGAATGTTTAGAGATTACTGAACGCTAGCTTTGATCTGCAGATCTCAGCTTTATGTAATGCAGGACAATTAAAATTCTCTCAAATTCTTATTGCCATTATTAAAATAAACATCCTTTTGTCTTAATTACTTCAATATTCAGTATGTAATCCAGCACCATGTGCTCCAAAAAGAGAAATCCTGAAGTCATTTATTTGAAAGCTTATTCCTGGGAAAAGAGGATTTCCTTTTCTGGCTCATCCAAGTTCCAGATGGGACCTCTCCATTCAAGAGCAGATGGTGGCATCAGTAAAACTTTTCCATCAACTACATCCAGACAACCTAGATAGAACTTGATAGAAAGGTTGTACCATGTTTTCCCGAAAGTAAGTCCCACTCTGAAAATAAGCCCTAGCTTGATTTTTGAGGGTAGCCCAACCCCTAAAATAAGCCCTAGTTTTGGGGCAAGGCACACACTTAAAAATCAAGCTAGAACAGGGGTGAGGGGGGTGGATCTGCCCCACGCACCCCGCACCCACTTACCTCATAGCCAGACCTCTCCTCCCTGGTTCACTTCTTCTGCGGCTTCTTCTGCAGCCAGGCCTGCATTTCTCAGTCACAGGCCTTTCCCAGAAGGCCTCTGCAGCCGAGTACCGAGCTATGGATTCAATCCATAGCTTGGTTCTGCAAATCCTCTGCAGCTGAGGACCAAGCTATGGATTAAATCCATAGCTCGGTACTCGGCTGCAGAGGCCTTCCAGAAAGGCCTGACTGCAAAATGCAGGCCAGAATGCAGCTTCTCCTTTGGGCCCCAGAAAAAGTGGGCCTGCTGGGCGGAACTGTCAGAGCCAGAGGTGAGTAAGACATCTCCCCAAAATAAGACCTGGTGCCTCTTTTAGAGGCAATAAATAAATAAATAAAAATATAAGACCTCGGCTTATTTTTGGGGAAACACGGTAGGATACAGATGCAGGGAAGGGTCTCATAGGCTAGTATGAGTGACTGACAGCTATTCTTCCTCCTCCCTGTTATGAAAATGCAAATTTAATATATTTAGTTCATTGAATAAATCTAGCCTGATTAAACCATATAATTTTAATGAGGTCACCGCTTTAATACTTATCAGTGCTAGAACTTTCACATTATTATTCCCATATAACATCTAGTCAAGTGAAGATATTACATTTTTAATTCATACTAGCTTTAAAATAACACAACCAGGAAACTCATCTGGGGATTCCACATAATGGGTACCAAAGCAACCAGCACACTGCCCCTTATGCATTTCAGATAGCGAGGGAACATGGAGTTTGATCTTAGTGGTGGAATTACAGTAGGAAGCAGTTCTTCAGATACTCTGGCTCCAAGCCATGCTTCAGGCAGTCCTCAACTTATGACTGGTTGTTTAATGACTCAAATAACAACAGACTTTTAAAAAGCTACTTACAGCCCTTCCTCGAAATTACAATTACTGCATCCCACTGATGACATGAACACATTTCCTGTGGTATTTACAGGAACAGGCTCACATTTAGAACCAGTTACAGCATTCTATGGTTACATGACTGCAATTTGCAATGTTTTTTGGTGTTTTCCAGAAGAATGGCAATGGGTATGTTGAAGTTACTAAACAACCATATGGTTTCCTTAATGATCATATGATTTTACAACCATGGTCAATTCCATTATGACTGGTGTAAAAATGGTCATAAAAATCAACCCCAGTCGTGTGGTCCCTCTACTTACAACTGTAACAACTTATGACCAAATTTGTGGCCTCCATTGTGGTCTTAAGTTGAAGACTTACCTGTATTTCTTCACAGAATAAAAGCTACCTTTCAAAGACTGCCGAAATAACTTGATGAACAGTGTAGCTAGCAGAAGAGACTAAGCAGAGTAGTCTGATCTTCTGATCCCAGAAAGACCCTAATAACTTAAATCTAGATCAACTGCAGTTTGCAAATTATTTTTAAGAGTACAGCAGCATCAAACAGAGTAATGCAACCTCGCTAAAGTATGAATGACCAGGCAATAGAAATGTAGTTGCAATATCAAGGATAGAATCAAGATCATGTGAAGTATTAATACCACTTTACAATGCCTTGGTAAGGCCGCACTTGGAATACTGCATCCAGTTTTGGTCACCACAATGTAAAAAAGATGTTGATACTCTAGATGTTGAGATAAGAGCAACAAAGATGATTAGGGGACTGGAGGCTAAAATATATAAGGAACAGTTGCTGGAATTGGGTATGTCTGGTTTAATGAAGAGAAGGACGAGGGGGGACATGATAGCAGTGTTCCAATATCTCAGGGGCTGCCACAAAGAAGAGGGAGTCAAGCTATTTTCCAAAGCTCCTGAAGGCAGGACCAGAAGCAATGGATGGAAACTAACCAAAGAGAGAAGCAACCTAGAACTAAGGAGAAACTTCCTGACAGTTAGAACAATTAACCAGTGGAACAACCTGCCTCCAGAAGCGGTTAATGCTCCAACACTGGAAGTTTTTAAGAAGAAACTGGACAGCCATTTGTCCAAAATGGTATAGGGTTTCCTGCCTGAGCAGAGAGTTGGACTTGATGACTTCCAAGGTCCCTTCCAACTTTATTATTATTATTATTATTATTAATCATCACACAATTAGCCAGATGTTCAGACTGGATTTGGCATTTTGTCTACCTATCGAGTTGTTGTTGTTGTTGTTGTTGTTATTAAGTCAAGTCAACAAAATATGCCTCTTGCCACTATGTCCTGCCACTATTTTTATCTGGTTATCTAAAACTACTCAGTCTGAGATTATTTATTTATTTTAACTATTTACAGAGCTGTCCCTCTCACAGCAGTGACACTGGTTGACATAAAAAGATTTTAAACCATAATAAAAGTAATAACTCATGATGCCCCAATTAAATAATAATCTTCCAAACAAAAGGTCTATGGAGATTCTCAGTCATCCAGGTCATAGTTGTCCCAAAGGCAGGAGTGTGCTTGAGGAGATTCAGGAATCAACAGGGATAAAGGTCCTATCAATCTCCTCTTCAAAACGTGTGACAGGACAGTTTTTGCTTTATGACTAGGCAGTGATACACCAGCCATGCTGGCCCCCAAAAGTACATTTAAGGCCAGATAGAAATTATTTTAGCAGGTTTTTCTGCTGATTCCCATCCCAAAGAAGATCTTATTGCAGCCTCATTATGGGCTGTATCACTGCCTCTTAATGTTTATAAATATCAAATGGGATCTATCTCCAGAGACAGGCTCTTTCTCGATTTAATAAGTCAAATGGGTGAAGATGTAAACAGTGGATCTCTTCCTTCCAAAGATCTACGGTACATCTTCAAATTGTATAAATCTGTAATATTCATAAAATTGACTACAGAATCTCAATGCCCCAAAACACTAGGGTTTCCTGCCTGAGCAGGGTGTTAGACTAGATGACCTCCAAGGTCCTTTCCAACTTTATTATTATTTTTATATTATTATTATTAGTTCTGAAAGAACCTCCAGCAGACTGTGCAAAGCTGAAAGAGCAAAGAAGAGTGAAACCTTGTGATTTCTAGTGGAAGTCTATGAGCAAACACTGAATAAATCCAAACCAAATGAATGAACAGCTCCTGCAAACACAAATCAAGGAGCCATCTGTAGTACAGGTACAGAAAAACAAAGAATACTCTCGTGTATTTTCCCTGAATTTGGTGAAGGTAATGGAGAGATGAGAAACATAATTTGGGTTCATACACATGCTGAATTGTAATATTATTTATTTTGTTGGCTCACCAAATATCACATGAGTCAAGCCATTCACCATTCATTCAATAAATCTAACTAATTTAATTATGTCAGACTGATGTATGGAAACCAGTGTAAAAATTCACACTGGGACAAAAATATTTTGGCCTCACATATGGGTCTGAGGTGACTGTAAACAACTATGAAAAATTTCTGAAAATATGAGGATAGCTCAGTGGAAATGCTGACCCTGTAGAAGCAGCTGAGCAATAGTAGGTTCTCAGCTAGGGATCATTAAGTAAGACAATGAATGTGTAATTGCAAATATAGAGTAAAATCCTTGCTTATACAGGTAGTCAATGCTTACTGACTGCCTCATTCAGCAATCATTCAAAATTACAATGGTGCTGAAAAATTAACTTTACAACCAATCCCTGTGTTTACAACTTTTGCAGCATCTTTCAGTCATTTGATCATCATTACAGTCAGTACACATTATCCAGTGCCTGACATGCTGCTTTTCTCTCCCCTCTCCCTTGCAGAGCATAAAAGTTGGAAAGGAAGGTATTACAAGAGAATAAACAGGCACACCATGGGGAATATACCAGGCTGTTTGTGTAGTGTACTCATGGCTGCCAGTGCCAGTGCATTGTTTTTGATGTGTATTCCCTACTGTGTGCCTGCTTACTCTCTTGCAATCCCTTCCTCTCCAATGAATGTAAATACAAACATTAATTTCCTTATTAATTATCCCAGCACTGAGGTGAGCATTCTAAAGTGCAAGGGAGTCGTTAGAAGGTAACAAAAACCAAAGGTGTGAAACTAATTAATTGTGTCTGTTTTGAGCCAGCTATTTCAAGTGTAGCTGGGGTGAGGATTCCAAAAAAAAAGGAAAACGTAACTGTAGTTAGGTACTTCCCTCTTGGTGTCTGATTTGCTTAGTGACAGAGTTGCCAATCCCAATTGCAGGTGCTAAAGAAGTACTACCTATATAATTACAGTGCAGCCCTTCTGAAAGCATACTGTAGAGCTGGAAAAGAAGAAGAAAATGGCAATTTTGGAGGACAGGAGCAATTTCCTAACATAAAACCACTGCAATGCTGCAAGATTTTAGATTAGCAAAAATATGAGAAAAGGCATCTAGAAGTATAATGATATATAATATGGAGAAAACATAGGATTTTTTTTCTCCCTTTATTTTAGTAGGATGCAAAGCAAATGTTTTTCAAGCTTTCTGCGATCACAGACCACTAAATAAACATTTTGAAAATGAAGGGACTACCCAATTCAACAAATGCTCCCCTCCTTATGTTTTTGTCTAAGAGTATCAGAATTCACTTTTGGGTGAATGAAATAAAGACCGTGATTTCCTTCTCATATATTCTGTGTTTAAAACTGTTTAAAATTGAATTTTGTACCAAAAATTAATCTAAAATTATTTATCACTTAATCAAAATAAAACTGTATAAAATTATGTATCTCTTTCCATAATAATAATAAATCTACTGGTCAAGAATCTTTAACAGAAACTTCTGGTTATTAAAATGCTAGGGAATGAAATGAATCTCTAAACACAATGAAATTCAATTTATTGCCTATTCATGCTTTTCTTGTACTTTCAGGTGCAAGGCTGAACTCTGTTTGAAAAGCACATATGGATTCACAATAAATTATTGCATCTGAAACTTGTTCACTATTGTCAGTTTTTTTAATGTTAATACTCACAGTGCTATTCCTTGCATATTTCACTGGACTGTATTTGATAGTTTCAGCCACTGATCCACCTGTGTGAATCAGCAGGTTACTAGGGCAAGAGGAGAAGCAGGAACTGAGATATGTCATCTCATGGAATTGGTTACACAGAAATTCAATTAACAGTCATGCTGGCTACATTTCCCCTTCGTATGTATGAATACCAGTTCTGCAGAATAACAAACAGAAAGGGCTTCATGTCCAATTTGTGGGCTTTTGGTGAAGCATCCTGCTGAGTAGTATGGGAGACACAGGTTTAGATGCTCTTTTCATGTTCGCATATGGGAACTATTCTCATATCTCAACACAACTCTCTCTCCTGAAAAAAATTCTACACAATAATAGTATGGAAGGGCTTTGTTTGTGGGCACAAAACCTAACAAAAATGATGAATCACAATTTCCCCCTGCTCCCTAATATCTAGATATCAAAAAAGTAATGGGAATGGCAGATAATTCCTTCTCTGATATGGACGTTCGGCAGCAAATGAAAAGCCTAAAATGAAAATCTGTCTATAGGCAGTTCTCAACTTATGACCACAATTGAGAACAGAATTTCTAATGCTAGGCAAAGAGGTTGTTAAGTGAATTGTGCCTGAGGTTTTTTGTTTTTTTTTTTACCTTTTTGCTATGGCTATTAAGTAAATCACTGTAGTTCTTAAGGGAATCATGCAGACATTAAGCAAATCTAGCTTCCCCCATTGACTTTGCTTATTGGAAGCTGGATGTTGGCCTAGAAGCCAGGAGACTGTCAGTTCTACTCCTGCCTTAGGCATAAAAAGCCAGCCTGGGGATTTTGGGCCAATCACCAGGAGACTGTGAGCTTTAGTCCTGCCTTGTTGACTTTGGGTCAGTCACTCTCTCTCAGCCTAACATACCTCATGGGGGTTTTGTGAGGAAAAAGAAGAGGAGGAATGAGTATTTGGTATGTTCACTGCCTTGAATTACTTATAAAGTAATAAAGATGGGATAAAAATCTAATAAATAAATCAAGGAAATAATCATTCCTCTTTAAAACTCACTCTTCCCGCAGACTTTCACTTAAACTCTCCATCTGAACACTCAGTTAAAATGAAAGCCAAAACCATGAAACTGCATTTGCCTATGTTTATCTCTCAGCACACCTCCTGTTCCTTCCTTTCATTCTGCTATAGCTGGAAGTTTCCCTGTTAGCTCTTTGGGGCAGAGGCCTTTTCTGGTTCATGTTTCACTAGCCACTGAAGCATCATGCAGTTAAGAATACTTAAGACTGAAGCTTTGGGGGTTCCCACAAATCTAAGACAAGGTCGCCTTCTTCATACTGTATAATTAGGTCCATTTCTGTATTTAAAAGACTGAATTCAACTTTCAACAAGATAAAGCTAAGATAAGAGGCAACAGGTGAGTGAAAAGCTGACAGGAAAGGGGAGGAAGGTCTAGAAACAGCTGAGTATTATTTTTACTAGGTCGAGAAATCCACAGTGTCACTCAATTCAATCCTGGTAAGATTTCATCCTCTGTAGATTTTCTCTTCTCCTATATCAGCTTTGAAACCAAAAGAAATGCCTAAAGATTCTGCAATAGGAAGCAAATCACAAGGAACAAACACAATAATTGTTAGATAAAAAAGCTTTGCTTTCTTTGAAAAACAAATCTTTGTAGGAAAGGGGAGATGTGGCAGGTTGTAATAACTATTTGGATGTGGGACAAATACATGAATAAACCCAACTTGCTTCTAACATTTAATCTTTACTGCACTGAAACATGGGAAGTTCGTTCATTGTACTATTTCTCCAAGTATAGTATATTACAAATGGCAATAACATTAAAAACTGCAGGAAGAGAAACAACCTTCCAAATTATTTTTGGTGTGTTTGTGGGGGAAAGGGTGGCAGTAAGTCCCAGGATCACACGTGGCCCTTTCTTCCAGCTGTCAGAGCCCCCTCTAATCAGAAAACAGCTAAAACTTGATGACTGTATTTTGCCAAGTTGAAGTGAGAAGTGAACCAAATTTATGAAGTAAATTCTTAAATACAATTACCATTTTTAAAAAGCAAATACCTCCCAGCTCCACCCCAAAGAGAAAGAATATCCAGAAAAGGCTGGTCTTTATTAGCTTATTATTATTGTTGCCCTGCCCATTGCACTTTTTGGCCCCTTGAAAATTCTTATATAACTCATTTACCCTGTCAATCCTGTCTTAATGAGAGTGCCAAGGACAAAAACCAAGGATTTTTGGTATGAAAAAAAAAAAAAGATGGCTAAGGCTTCTTCAGAACCGGGAACACATCTCTTACTAGTTCAGTGCGAATATATATTTAACCTTTATGCCATCACAGAACTGATCAACATAGTCCTGGGCAGCCGCAAACAGACTTTCTCAAAGGACTGTAGAGAAGCCCATATACAGGTAATCCTAGACTTATAACCATTCATTTAGTGACCATTCAAAGTTACAATGGCACTGAAAAAAGAGACATATAACTGTTTTTCACACTTATGACCGAGGCAGCATTCCCACGGTCATGTGATCAAAATTTAGACAAATGCAACTGACTCATATTTATGATGGTTGTAATGTCCTAGGGTCATGTGACCTTCTGACAAGAAAATTCAATGGGGAAATCAGATTCACTTAACAACCATGTTATTAACTTAATTATACTGATTCACTTAATATCTGTGGCAAGAAAGGTCATAAAACTCACTTAACTGTCTTGCTTAGTAATGGAAATTTTGGACTCAATTGTGATCGTAAGTCGAGGATTACCTATACCAGGGGCAGGCAACCCAAAACACTCAAAGAGCCACTTGGACCTGTTTCCCACCAAAAACAAAACACCGGGAGCCGCAAAATCCTTTTGATATCTAAAATTAAGATAACACTGCATATATCCTTTTTTACCTTTATTATAGGTGCGTGTGTGTGTTTGTGTGTGTGTGTATGTATGTGTGTGTGTATATATATATATATATATATATATATATATATATATATATATATATTTGTTTTCTGACCTACATATGTATGTATGTGTGTGTGTGTGTGTGTGTACACACACACGCACACACACGCACACACACGCACACATATTAAAAATAAAAATATGACTTTTGGGAATATCCATACTATTAAAACAATGATCACCAAGAGAATGCTTTAAGAGAATAAAATTACATACACACATAGGTAAAAAAAGGATATTTGCAGTGTTATCTTCATTTTAGATGTCAAAAGGGTCTCTCTGTGTGTGTGTGTCTCTCTCTCTCTCCCTCCCTCTCTATCTGCCCTTGGTCTGCCACTCCTCTTCCCCCACTCTCTTTCTTTCTCTCTCTCTCCCTCCCTCTCTCTTCCCCCCCCCCATCTGCTGCTCACCTGGCAAGCTTCAAGCTGTTGTCCAACAACTCAGGGGTAGGCAACCTTGTATCTTTTATGACTCATGGACTTCAACTCCCAGAATTCCTGAGTCAGCCTAGCTGGGCTAGCTAGCTCTCTCCTGCCCTTCCTGCTTCCTGCTTCCTGCAGAGACGCAGCAAAGGGAGGAGCTCCGCCCAGTAAGTTTTTCAGATCCTCGGAGAACACTGAGTGCATTCTCTTTTACACATACACACACACACACACACACACACACACACACACACACACAGAGTGAGTGAGAGAGAGTGAGAGTGAGAGAGAGAAAAGCAGGGAAGCGCAATTGCCTCTCTCTGTCTCTGCAAAGGCAGAGGAGGCTGGGAGCCACAGGGGAAGGCTCAAAGAGCCGCATGCGGCTCCGGAGCCGCAGGTTGCCGACCTGTGACCTATACCATTCCCTGAATCTATTCACATGGTAGAGAAAACATACAAAAAAAGGAACCCCACATTGGATTATCCATTCCTTATGACCATATTCATTCTTGTTTCTCTGGAAAATATACAATTTCAGGCTTTAGTGGTATTCATTTGATGACCAGATGATAATAATCCAAAGCAACAAATGTATCTAATAATCCTCCTATTTTCCCCATACCCTGTTAGGCGAGTTCGGCTGAGAGAGAATGCCTGGCCCAAATTCCCCTAATCAGCTTTTATGTCTAAGGCAAGACTAGAACTCATAGTCTCCTGATTTCTACCATGATGCCTTAAAATTGCCAAAGTTGGAAAATGCTGGTCTAATCTCTGTTTCGACAAAAATAAGACATTGTTTTAATATTTTAAAAGATATATATATCTTCAACCACGTTGGGGAATGGTTCTTTTGGATGCATGACCTTGGACCTAAGGGTGTGCTCGGGCCTATGGGCAACGCTCACATTGTAGGGGGCCAACAGCCGTGCCGTGGCCTCAGAGACACCATGGATGTAAGGGAGGGTTGTTCGTGTGGCTGGCATTGCTGTCACATTGGAACGTGAGTCTCTATGATTTCGATGTGGTCTACTATGCTGTCTCACAAACCCCATGGGATAGCCATTGGGCATGAAGATATGATGAAGATGTTTTTCTCCTCGGCTTTAGCTCTGCCCGTGCTACAATGGGAATTAACCCGTTTAAATAGCGTCCAGATGCAGCTGATTTTATGTGCTACCGGGTGGTTGCTATTATAATGTAGCATTCTGTCTGTATGGGTGGGTTTACGGTATACAGACGTGCACAATGTGCCATTAGGGCATCGGCTGATCAGTACATCCAGAAAGGCAAGACTGCCTTGGCTCTCTTCTTCTGCGGTGAAGCAGATGTCTGGATATACCGAGTTCAGTTCCTCCAAGAATTTGGCGCTATCCCGTCTTTTGACAATCGCAAAAGTATCATCTACATAGCACATCCAAAATTTTGGGCGGTACCTAGACATTACTATTGACTCTAGCCGCTGAAGAACCACCTCAGCAATAATGCCTGAGATGGGGGATCCCATTGGCATCCCTTTTATTTGTTCGTATACCACGCCCCGAAAGGTGAAGTATGTCTTCAGGCATAAGGTTAGCAACTGTATTAAATCATTGGTATGGAGAGCGTCCTTATGTTGTTTAGGCCCCTCTTGTAGGAGATCCCTTATTGCCGTGACTGCCAGATCTTGAGGGATAGAGGTAAAGAGTGAGGTAACGTCAAATGATATCATTACCTCATCTTTCTCTATCCTTAGGGGCTTCTACTCTCTCTAGAAATTCCTCAGCCGATTTCACAGTGGTCTCATTGTTATCGACCAAGTGGCTGGTGTGACCGCTAAGCCATTTGGCTAGTCCCCAAGTGGGTGTGCCCCTGAAGGACACAATAGCTCGTAGGGGGACCCTCTCTTTGTATACTTTTGGGAGGCCATAGAACCTAGCCATGGCCACGTCGCTGGGACATA